CCCTGCCCCCCCGTCCTGCTGCGTGCTGCCCCTTGGCCACTCTGAGCGCCGCCTCCCTGCAGGTGCTGCTGCTGTCGTCCCCGGGCCTGGAGGAGCTGTACCGCTGCTGCCTGCTCTTCGTGGACGACCTGGCTGAGCCGCGGGAGCCGCCCGAGCACCCTCTGAAGCAGATTAAGGTCAGAGCTGGCGTGCAGAAGGCCGACACGTCTGCTGATAGCACCAGGGCCTACCGGGCTGTCGGCTCAGCTCCTGCTCTGTCAGACGCGGGCCAGGTCAGAGCTCACGTGGCCACGCTGTTCCCAAGGAGAGCACGGCTCGGGGTGCTCTGTCTCGTCCGAGTGGGGCTGGTGTGGGGGCTGGTGCGTGTTCACGCCCACTCCTGTGCAGGGGCTCACCAGCTCTGCTGCCTTAATTCCTGAAGGGTGGGGGCCTGGTCACCTGGTTCTCCCTGTTCATCCCTCATCTCTTTCTGCAGTTTTTGCTGGGCCGGAAAGAAGAGGAGGCAGTGCTGGTGGGGGGTGAATGGTCTCCATCACTGGATGGCCCTGACCCCCAGGCTGACCCGCAGGTGCTGGTACGCACGGCCATCCGCTGTGCGCAGGCCCAGGTGGGCATCGACTTGAGTGCCTGCACCAAGTGGTGAGTGGCCCTGAGACGCTGGGCAGAGCTGGTGTGGTGCCGTACCCTCCATGCCCAGGCCTTAGCCATGCCCTGCACCCTGCAGCTGCTCCCTAAGGATGCCTTGGTCGTGAGCTTGGCAAGGACCAGCTGCCCTCAGGTCCTGTCCGGTGCCTTGTGGGCTTAGCACCTCCCATAGTGCCCCTCTGCTGGTCGAGTCGCCCTTTGGTTCACGGCTGGGGGGACTTGTGTGTCTTTTTTTCTTTTTAAAAATTTTTTGCCAGAGGGCCTGTGTGCTTGCCGGAGACGGACAGGCAAGGACAGGGAGAAAGCACTTCCTGGTGGGTCACGCTGTAGGCCCTTCTCCCTCCAGTAGGGACTTGGGCAGACATGCACATGGCACCTAGCGAGGTCTTAACTGAGACTGGGATTAGAACCACAGGGTTGACTATGTGGGCTCCAGCTCCCTTAGCCACTAGGACATGGGTGTACCTTCTGTGTTTGTACTTCCAAAGCTTGCCAGTCAGCACGAGCTCCCTGCGTGTTGACTGGAGGCTGCGGCTCCTCCCTGACAGTGGGGCCTGCAGGGGGAGCCGTGGGCTAGGACCTCTTCCTGTTACGAGCAGGTGGCGCTTTGCTGAGTTTCAGTACCTGCAGCCGGGACCGCCCCGGCGGCTGCAGACAGTAGTGGTGCACTTGCCAGACATCTGGACTGTCATGCCCACTCTGGAAGAATGGGAGGCCCAGTGCCAGCAGAAGGCTGCAGAGGCAGCCCCCCCACCCCAGGAGGCGCCAGGGGTAAGGCCAGGCTTCGGGGAAGAGCAGGGAGGGAGGTACGCTGACCCTGGGACTCAGCGGGGCCCATCTCGGTTGTCACAGGAAAGCGAGCCTACGGAGCAGACACCCGATGTGTCAGAACCAGCAGCCGACCCAGAGGCCCCAGAGGCCACCACACAGCAAGGACTGGACACGGACCTCCCCGAGGCCCCACCACCTCCCCTGGAACCTGCTGTCCTTGCACGTCCTGGCTGTGTGAACCTGTCCCTCCATGGGATCGTGGAGGATCGGAGGCCGAAAGAAAGGATCTCCTTTGAGGTGGGTGGGGGTAGGATGCGCAGACGGCTGGGTGCAGGGTGCCCCCTCCCTGGCACTCAGCCGTGCCTCCTCATCAGGTGGTGGTGTTGGCCGAGCTCTTTCTGGAGATGCTGCAGAGGGACTTCGGCTACAGGGTTTACAAGGTGCTGCTCAGCCTTCCTGAAAAGGTCATGGCCCCACCTGAGCCTGAGAAGGAGGCAGCGGCCAAGGAGGAAGTGGCTGTCAAGGAGGAAGTGGCCGTCAAGGAGGCGGCGACCAAGGAGGCCAAGGAGGAGGCACAGGATGAGGGCGCTGCGGCTGAGTCTGATGCCCTGCCTGCGAGTGCTGTGGTGAGTGCCCTGGGCCAGCCCTGAAGGTGAGCGGCCGTGCGCCGTCGGGGTGAGCACACCGTCCATGGCAGGGCTGTTCCCAGGCCTTGCCCAGCGTGGTCCGCCTCGCCTGCACCTGCGCCCTGGGAGGCCTGGTGTGGACCGTCAGTCCCAGCACAGCCAGGAGCAGGGCACCCAGGCTGAGGGCAGCGTGCAGGAGGCGGGGAGCCTGGGAGGGGCAGGGTGGCTTCCTGATGGTTAGAGAAACACATTTAAAAAAGTTGTTCTACAGGGTACGTTGACTCACCTGAAATCACCCACTTTGGGCATGGCCACACTGCAGCCCCTTTTCACCAGTTTATCCATTTTGAGAACATGTGCACACACGCCTGATCTGGGATTTGACCCGCATGGTCAGCCATATGGGATCTGGCTCCCTTTACGACCACCAGGCCGTGGGCCAGCCTGAAAAGTAGTTCTTAATGTTTCCACATACTGTCACGTAAACGATTTCTCCTGGGACTGAAGTCTCCTGAGGAACAACCCCTCCAGGTGTCTGGAGGTACCCTGGCATGCTCCGGATCCACATCACGGAGTCAGTGTGTGACCTGGGATGGTAGCCGGGGTCTGGAGGTACCTTGGCGTGC